AAATAATTTTATTAAGTCTTATAACGTAGAAAAGAATAAAAATTCATCAATAGAAATTAATTATAAATGTAAATTAATTATATATTTTTAATTGAATTAATTGTATTTATTAAAATAACTTGAATTTATATATTTAAAAAAATAATAATAATATTTTAATCAATGATTTTATTATTTTTAACTGAACTTCAACTCATTTTTATACTCTTAATTCTTAAATCTATATCTAAAATTTAATGTTAGCCTTGTAAAAATTTAAGAAACTTTAACTTTATTCTCAAATAAGGCCCGAAATGAGAGAGATGAGGCCTTGATCAATTCCCGAAAGGCATAAAAGTATATAATTAAAATCAATAAAAACACGGTTTTTCTATTATTTATCCAAAGAAATTTTAATATAAAATGTTGGGGTGGTACAGTACCAGACAAAGAGGGACTGTGTTTAGGGTCTTCACACATTAACACTGCAAGAGGGATCTCCATCTTTATCTGTATACAAAAATATAAGCCTAATAATTAAAGACAATGGATAATGGAAAAACCAAGAGACTTTTATATTGTGGAAAACACATAAATTACTTAAATATTGACGTAAAAATTGCTAATATTTATATATAATTTAATACGTTTACGTCATTTAATATTACGTAATAAATTTATACGCGATTTTAAGTAATTTTAACATTAAATTTTAATTTTAATAAGCAACGACGTATACATAATGGATACTCGAATTAGATTGTTCATTCAGTACAGCAACCCTCATTCGTCAATCATTTCCAGGTGTTCTTCACTGCACAGACATCTGTTTTAAGAGGGTTACCCGGCAAACAAACGTGTAAACAATTGTAAACGACTACCCCTTTTCTCTGTTGTATTGAAAAATTATGTAACTAGTAAGAGCTCTTCTATACATTTCTTGTTGGGATGCCATTTTCTGTGTTATATCTCGCAGCCATTTAGGATTATTCCTGTTATTTCACTCGCAAATAAACAAAAGATACTTACTATTGTTTGGATAAATCTTATATATGACTGATGATAATTGAATTGGTTGATGATAGACTCCTCCTGTGACACAATCTTCCTCGACACACCAGAAACTTGTGTTAAAAAAAACAATACTTGGATGATGGAACGAACCACACTACGAAACAGAATGTAGACAAATATTTAAATTGTTTATAATAATTTATATTGGAAAATATTAAAGCATTC